ACTGTGCAGCGTTCGTAAAGAGATGCCAGCCATGCCAGAGACATGACAACTTGATTCATCAACTGGCCGAACAGCTACATTGCATTCCTCCAGCCTGGCCGTTCGCCACGTGGGGGGCCGACATACTCGGACCATTCCCACTTGCCAAGGGACAATGCAAGTTTCTCATCGTCGCCGTTGACCTATTCACCAAATGGATCGAAGCCGAGCCCTTGGCATGCATTTCGGCTCATCAAGTCCAGAAATTTCTATGGAGGAACATCATTACCCGGTTCGGTGTCCCGCACACTCTGGTGACCGACAACGGCCTTCAATTTACCGACCAAAAACTAAATGAATTCCTGAACGGCTTGGGTGTACAGCATAAGGTCACGTCGGTCGAACACCCGCAGACGAATGGTCAGGCCGAGTCGGCCAATAAAGTCATCTTGGTAGAGTTGAAGAAACGCCTTGGAGAAGCAAAAAGGGCATGGGCCGAGCAGTTACCCGAAGTGCTATGGGCCTACCGATGCACTCCCCAGTCGACTACGCAAGAAACTCCTTTTCGCCTAGTCTATGGATTCGATGCAATGATCCCAGTGGAAATCGGGGAACCTTCGTTCCGCCGAGCCCACTACGACGAGTCGAACAACGAAGCCGAGCTCCGGACAAACCTGGATAGCGTGGAAGAAATTCGAGACCAAGCACAAGTTGTGGCCGAGGCCACCAAACAACGTTACAAAAGAAGATTTGACAGCAGGGTAAAGCCTAGAGAATTTCGCGAAGGCGATCTCATTTGGAGAGCCACAGGCGAGGCAAGGAAAGATCTGAGACATGGGAAACTCGCCCCAAACTGGGACGGTCCCTTCCGAATCCGACACAACCTAAACAACAGAGCGTACAAGCTGGAGCACCTATCGGGAGAACCAATTCCGAGAACTTGGAATTCTTCTCATTTGAAAATGTATTACAGCTGATGTAACAGTGCACTCTTTTCCTTAGCCGACTCTTTCCTCCCTAAGGAGGGTTTTGGGTCGGCAAGGTTTTTAACGAGACACTTCATTAATAAAAGTTCCAAAATCTCATTATATCATTTGCAATTTTATTGTATGCCCAGGTCGAGCACTACGCACAACGCGTACTAAAACCCGAGCAATCCTCGGTCAAGTTTGAAATGTGCACTCGCGCCCCAGGTTTCCCTCTCGAGTACCCTCCTCGGCCAAGGATGTGCCTGGGCCGAGCACTATGTCGACGGCGACGACACCGACCAACGTTCGGTCGACGACGAAAAACACACTCGTGCCCCAGGCCGAGCACTACACACAACGCGTGTTAAAACCCGAGTAATCCTCGTATAAACACAAGCCGAAGCTTCGATGACCTAACGTTCACGGAAACCGAACACACTAGTATAAACAAACACAACGCGCATCGAACACCGTCACAAATCACAAAATCTGACCTCTCGGCCACACATACAACTCGGTTTATGTTAATATCATTGAACACGTAAACACGGAAAGTTGAAAAGCAAATTCAATTAAGAATAAGTATTGCCGACCAAAGCGGCTACTTACAAAAAATTAAATATCTATCGGCGCCGATGGCCAAGTTACAAAAAGGCACTAACGGCCCGGTTACAAAAAGCAAGCAAACCTACTCTACCAGAATCGGTTCCTACACCGCGGCCGAGACGTCCGGATTACCATCACCTACCACATCTATAATTGGGTCATCTTCCTCCGTAGGCGGAGGTACCGGCGCCTGCGTTGAGATGCCTCGGCGGGGAGCCTCGTCATCAGGGCTGGCCCCCTTTGGGAACTCGGCATAACTCATGTACTTACCCCCGTAAAAATCTCGACTGACGTCAAAGTTAAAGTCAACCGGGATCTCGTAGAAGTACTGGGCTTGCTGGACCGCTTGCTGGAATCCCGCATCATGTTGTTCGAGGATCTTTTCGGTGGCCTCGGCTTTGAGTTTGGAATGAGCCTCGGTCAACCGAGCAATCTCAGTCGCCGCAGCCGCGGCCTCAACTTTCATCCTCTACACCGACAGCTTTTTCAACACACTATCATCAACCATGGAAGGAGGGACTCCATCACTAAACCAGAACGGGCCGTTCCAAACTGTTAAAAAGGCCTAAAAACCTAGTTTGGAATAGGTCGTTCTAAGCAAGGGAATATATGGTTAATCTCAACTCCAAAACAGGCCGTTCTTAGTTCAAAACGGGCCGTTCCCAAGTGCGTGATTAACACACAATGTTCAGATCCAGAACAGGTCATCTTTACCGCATATTTCAGGCCATTGATGTGGAGCACAACGGCTGCATTCTCCCTGAGGAGCTTTGGGATGCACTTGTCAAGGCTGGTTGGTATTCTTTTACTCCCTTCAATGCTGCTACTCACTTTCTTCATCGTGTTTCATACCTTGTGCCATCTTATTATTGCATGTCAAGTTTCCTAATTCAATCATATATTGCCATGTATAGTAATCACCATGTATGGCAAGTATGTTGAAATTTGTAATAATTACCTTAAAAGCCATACCTCAGATGATTTCTGATTGGTAGATAGGGTAAATTTTTACATTCATAATGCGTGAAAATTAAATTATTTTATTGTTTGTGTTGTCAGAGTTGTTGTTTGCTATCTGTCCTCTGCATCTTTTCTGTGCTTGTAGTGTTGTAAGTATGTTGTTGGCTGTTAATTTTCTGCGAGTGGGCCAGGACATGCTGACATTCAATGTTGTTCCTTAAACTTGCATTGCCTTTGGTCGTGGTTGTGATGGGGTGGGATTATTTGTAGATTCTATAATTGTGGCGAGACGAGTTTATAATAGGACATTTATAGTTGTAGTCATAAAAGTTATGTGTGAGAAAAAGGTTCGGTCTTGACTCTTGAGAGAAGGAAGGGTTCTACATTTGTTCATAAATTTGGTGAATCCTTGTGATTTCTGAATGTGTCTCTTTTGAAGATGTGCTGCCGCATTGTATATTCATTTGAAATAAAAGGGAGAAAATTTTTGGAATAATTCTATGAGTATGCATGGTGCTTTGGTTTAGTGAAACCTAGTTCAACTTCGATCTTTGATGGTATTCCTTGTTGCCTTTTGTGGAAACTTTTACTGTTGTTCCATTTTATCTGTAGTATTTATCGTAAGCATATTCAGCTTCTTTGTTGCAGGGATTGAAATTGATGAGGTGGAGCTTGCTCGCTTTGTGGAGCATGTTGATAAAGACAATAATGGAATTATCACTTTTGAAGAGTGGAGAGATTTTCTCCTACTGTATCCTCATGAAGCAACTATTGAAAATATATATCATCATTGGGAGAGGGTATGCCTTGTTGACATTGGAGAACAAGCTGTCATTCCTGAAGGCATCAGCAAGCATGTGCACAGGAGCAGATATTTTATTGCAGGGGGGATAGCAGGAGCTGCTTCTCGTACAGCAACTGCTCCTCTTGATCGTCTAAAGGTGGTCTTACAAGTTCAAACCGGACGAGCTTCTATTATGCCAGCAGTGATGAAGATATGGCAACAAGATGGTTTATTAGGGTTTTTCCGAGGAAATGGATTGAATGTTGTGAGAAGCAACTATTGAAAATATATATCATCATTGGGAGAGGGTATGCCTTGTTGACATTGGAGAACAAGCTGTCATTCCTGAAGGCATCAGCAAGCATGTGCACAGGAGCAGATATTTTATTGCAGGGGGGATAGCAGGAGCTGCTTCTCGTACAGCAACTGCTCCTCTTGATCGTCTAAAGGTGGTCTTACAAGTTCAAACCGGACGAGCTTCTATTATGCCAGCAGTGATGAAGATATGGCAACAAGATGGTTTATTAGGGTTTTTCCGAGGAAATGGATTGAATGCTGGCAGGCCACACCCGCCGAGGCCTCGGCGCAAACTCTAAAGGCTTGGGACCTCGGCGTACATCTCTCTCACGTGGAGTCAGAGGTCTCGGCCTACAGTTATCTCACCATGAGATCGCGATATTCGCTCCACGCGTCAGAGGGCTCGGCCTAAGATCTCTCTCACGAGATGTCAGAGATCTCGGCCTACATTTATCTCACCATGAGGTCGCGACATTCGCTCCACGCGTCGGAGGGATCGGCCTAGATCCCTATCACGTGGTCAAAGGTCTCAGCCTACATTTCAATCACCCGAGGCCCTGACCCAGGCTATGCCATGCCGAGACTTGTCAAAACTGCCCCTGCCTCTCCGACGACGACCAGGATGTCACACAGTTCTTACCGTCTTCGTCTTTCACATCCTCGACGCTGCGGGGTTGTATACCGTATGGGGGCCGACCTGGCCGAATACCCAACCCCTCGAATACTCGGGCCGAACACCCGACCCCTCGAACACTTGGGCCGAACACCCGACCCCTCGAACACTTGGGCCGAACACCCGACCCCTCAAACACTTGGGCCGAATACCCTCAAACACTTGGCCGAATACCCTAACATACCGACCACCCGAGAATCGAACGGAGTACGTCGGTATGCTCGGCCAAAACCATGTGCCGGCTCCAAGATGATTTCAAAGAGCTTAATTAACGTAATGCATTGGATTAGCCCCCTAATTTCCCGGGGCCCAGTCCCTAATCACGGCCCAATAAGAAGTCCTATAAATAGAGTCCCAACGAGGTACGTAACTAACTTTCAACTACCGCATTTATTACGCCAAGCACTTACTTGAGCGTTGGAGTGTCTTTGCAGGCACACCCCCCCTCACATCAGACTACCCGGATAGGAACGAGAAGACCGAGACCTAAGATCCGACCCGTTACAACAAGGATAATTGAAGTGTGTTTCCTAACACAGGAACAACTTGAAAGAGAACTTTGTTATTTACAGTTGTTCTATATAACTCAAGTAGGATTGTCTCTAATGAAGAATACAAATACTATTTACCAAGATAAAATGTAATATTTATCACATAAATGATGACTTAATAGTGTGATCAATGTCTTAAATCACTTTGAAATTCGAGTATAGTTATGGATTGAAACATGCAGGCTTGTTACAAAACAATAGTGTGTGTGGGTTGGAGCAGGAAGAGCTTACCCTCTTTGAGATCTTCCCGTTTCCGCATTTGTGCGGTAAGAATTTGGATTCCCTTCTAAATATTAAATAGTTTCGCAACAATTAAAGAAAAGATAAGATTGTGATTTGTGAATGAGACAGGTGCAAGCACAACCAGAGACAGTGCAGAAGGTGTGTGATATTGTGAGGAAACAACTTGCTCTGCCCCCTGAATCAGAGCTTACCCCAGACACAAAATTTTCAGCACTTGGTGCTGATTCCCTTGACACGGTGGAAATAGTTATGGGTTTAGAGGAAGAGTTTGGCATCACTGTTGAGGAGGATGGCTCTCAAAACATCTCAACCGTTCAAGAAGCTGCTGATTTAATAGAGAAACTCGTTCAAGACAAAACTGCACCAAGTTAATCATTCGTTTTTTGTGCGTATGCGTATTATTTAGGAACTTTTTGTCCCATTATGACTTTGTTCAACTTGCTATTTGTTGAAAGAGGTTAGCATGCACAAAACGCTTTTTTTTCCTTTTCTTTCCTTCTTTGAGATAAACATCTCATTTGCATTTGTAGGGCAAGAGATCATAGGTGATGTTAGTTATGTTCTATTTTTGCTATCAAACGTGCTTTCTGCTTATTTTCTTTCTGTTTAATAAACTTTCACGTAGAGGGATTTGCAGTATGCATCCATTCAAACTGAAAATTAAACAGCAAGGAAATTCAAGCTTCCTTTTTATATTCTTATCACGAACAACATTATAAATCGCACAATCACTGTAAGAGAATAAAAAATTGCAATCCAACCAATTATGCAATATTTTTTATTCAAATTCCAAATGTGCCAATATAATAATCATTCCAATCATAAGCATAAAAGATCAACTGCTTCGCTGTATGGGGACAGTTGTAACTTATATTTCCCTATTTTCGTGTTTTTATTTGAACATACTAGTAGCATTACTCTGAATTAGGCCACAACTACAAGGTTTCTTCCACTCTTCCACATCTGAATCTATTACTCAGCTGCAATTTATTAAAAGGATAACTAATTAACATGGTATCTGATGTTGAAGTGTAGCCTCAAGCCTGTAATGTAAGAGACATACGATAAATGGTGTGAAGTTATTGCTTCAGTTAAGTTTGAATGTTCATCTGCGTATGAACGTCGATTATATTATTTTCTCTTTTCCGATGCGTTTATCCTTTTGCGCACCATTTTTTCTCGGGTCGTATACAAAAGGAATTAGGGTTTAATATATTTTTTCCTGTAGTCTCAGATATACAGTTACCAACTAATATCTTTAAATACCAAGCAATATGTTGATCAAAAGGTTCAGCTAATGCAGATATTGGTGTAAAAAAAACTAAAAACTTAGAATATTAAATATTTACTTAAAATATAAAAACTTAAAACTAGAAATACCTTATTCTTTTGAATAATCTAATGTCAAGTTGTTTTAGATGTTATATCATGATTAAGTATGATGACGCACAAAGGTTTTGGTTCACATCCCTAATCCATTCTCCGGAGTCCTTAGTTAGAGGAAAAAGATGAACTATCATCAAACTTCTTGCAAACCCTCGACCCACTAATCAAATCAACGTTCTTATCGCGGTGGCGAGTGACAACACCCCAGACATAAAAAGAAGGAAAGTCTGTGTAATTAAATAGTTAAAGTGGATCAGCTTTTTCTCCACTTTGTGTCTTTTATGGCCACCAAGTTACAAAACCAAAAGAGTGAGCAAAGTAGTAGCAGTCCTTTCTCTACTTTGCAACGATCTAAAAGCATACAATTACATTGTCTCACTCCCCAACACATTATCCAACTTCAATGCTCCAAAAGTCTTCCTAACCACTTCTACCGTTCTACTGTATTATAATATATAGATTAAACTATTCACTTTATCAGTGTAAGTTGTTCTCATTTTAAGTTTTAGTCTTTATATGAGAAAATTGTAATTTTTAATTTATATATATATATATATATATTTAAACAATTTGTCACCAAAGTTTTTGTAACGATTTTAGACTGTTAGAAAGTTTTCTCTGATGTTAACGTGAGGGACCAGAACTTAAACTAACACGCATGTGTGAGGACTAAAGTTTATAATTTTTCATATAGGGACTAAATCTTAAAATTGGGACAATTACAAGGGACGATGTGAATAGTTTAATCTATTCTGCCATGTCGTCTCATAAATTGCTACAAGCATGAAGAATGAACCTTGAATCAGGTAGGGGTTAGGTGGGAGTAGAATTTGTGTTAAGTTAACGTTTCAGAGTCGTTCGTAATTTGACAATACATAAGTGACACTAGTGCAGCTAATGATGAAAAATCTGAGAGCCTTCTGTAAAAGCTATTAAGGTAGGGACCATTTTTTCCCCTCCTTTACCAGTTCTTTGAGCTGCATGTATATATAGCAGAACCCCACCATATACATATAGATCACATTTGTCTTTTTATCATTTGTTTGTTCTACTACTTACACTCACTCTCTTATGTTCTTCTTCCTTAGCTTAAGGGAAGTTGGGTTGCAATGACTAGACTTTGTAGCAATTATATTATGATTAGACTATCTTTTCTCCCATGTTCTAACCGTACTTGGATATATAGGGTCCAATGATATCACTCGATTGTGTTTGCCAAACCATAAACATCCATAAATTGAGTTACCGAATGGCTAGCATACAATTTTTTTTGTAAATCATGTTATTAGTCGAAGTATTCACTAGTTTTGCTAAAGAATAATTTTTGTCAAAAAATTTGGCTAGCCACTTTTAGTAGAATCTCTTCTTTCAATCACGTTTTTTTATACACAACTCAAATTCGAGACCTTATTTAAGGAGACTGAGTCTAGTATAACTCAAACCAACAACTTCTTGGTAATAACATACAGATCTAACACAGCTGGTGAAGTGATGAATTGAGGGAGGTCCCCCAACAATGGAAAAGTTGGCTTGTAAGTGTTAGAGACCACGATGGGGACATGTGGCTCCGTATAGGCCAGCATGTGAGTTTGTATTTGAAAAGAAAAAGAGAAGTGATATATGCTGGAGGGTAGTTGCTTTGTATCACTAGGACAAAAAGGCTTGGAAGAAAAGAAAAAGAATCAAGGTTTACCCTATCATTATGGGAAAAGCCTTTTCACAACTGGTCAAATAGAACGAGTTCATTCCCACATAACAACATAAAGATAAGTCCTTAACCACCGCGGAAAAAGTAGGAGGACTGAGCTGATTTCCTCTTTGGAATTTAAATCTATTCCATTCAAGTTCCTACAGTATGGTCCTTAGGGAAATCTCATCATTGAGCTTACCAAGTTCTCAAATATACCACGTTCTTTGTATGAAAGAAAATAAGTAAATAGTGCGGCTTTAAATTATTTTTGTTGGTCAATGATGTATTTGAGAAAACTAGATTACTAGCTTCTCTGACATGCCAGTGTATTTAAATTTTAAAATATAGTGGTCATTACAAGAGTAGGATTGCTCAGTTTCTCTTGGAATCTCCATGCTGTAACCACTTTGTAGCTGTGCAAAATCTTGCCCGTACTTGTTGATAAAAAAAAAGTTAATCAATCAAACAAGTTTTTGGGAAAACCAAAAAGAAACCGTGTATATCTGTATACAACCTGCAATATACCCTAAGATGCTATCAAGTACTTATATTCTCTGGTGACTCAGGAACTCGGGAATACAGAAAATGAGTAATTTTATTTTTTCTAATCCTAAAATACACTACATTAGTCATTTTAACCCAGCCACCCACCACCCAGTTGGTGTGGTAAAAAACAAAAGAGTTACAAGGTATTTGTAGTTGATGCATCAAAACCAGAAAAAAAAAAGTAGAACTAGAAGTCTAAAAGAAGATCTACACACTGTAATACTCAAGAGAATATTATCGAGGAAGCCCACATTCCAATAGCTAGTTTCCTTTTCATAGCAGCAAAACTTTATACACTGACTCATTCAAACATTTGAAGGCCCAAGTATGCATACACAACTTTCTTTTTGCTTCATAGACTGACCCAACACACTATGATCCATGCCCCTCATACATCACTTTCACCACCATTTTCTAGCCAGCATGCAAGGAAAAAAATTATAATAAAGCTAAAACTATAATCATATAATGAGGTAGAAAGCAGCTCCCATTCACAAAGTGGCCCACATTTAACCCCATGCAGTAAGTACTCAGTAGTAACATTGTAACAATTTAAAAGCAGCACACACCTCTCTCTTTCTGAAACTGTTTTACCTTAGTCCTACTCTCCATTTTGTGAAAGATGATGCACTGGCCAACAAGGAAAACCATGGCAATAACTGTGGTGTTGCTTCAGCTGAGCTTTTCCTTTGAGATCTTCTGTCTCTCTTATCATGCAGATAGAATTGTTCGGCTTCCTGGCCAACCCAACATAGGCTTCCAACAGTTCTCAGGATATGTCACAGTTGATGACATGAAACACAAGGCTCTCTTTTACTATTTTGTTGAATCAGAAACTGATCCAGCTTCAAAGCCTCTTGTTCTCTGGCTCAATGGAGGTCTGCAATCTCTCACTTGCTACAGTTATATTTATGTAACACTACCGTAAAAATTAGAATAAGTTCAAGACTTTGGATAAAAAAAATGCATAATATCAGTGTAGAATATAAAGTCTGTTTTAATACAAGCTTAAAAACGCTTTTAAGAGTTTCTATATTAGAAAAAAAAAACAAAAAAAAAAAAAAAAAAAAA